AAATGTTTTTTTTTTTTTTTTTTTTTTTTTTTTTTTTTAGAGAGAAAGGAAGGGAGAGAGGGAGAGAGGGAAAGAGAGATGAGAGAGAAACATCAATCAGTTGCCTCCCATATGCACCTTGACTGGGGATCAAACCAGCAACCTAGGTATGTGCCCTGACCTGGAATTGAACCCTCAACCTTCTGGTGTATGGGACAATGCTCCAACTAACTGAGCCACCCAGCCAGGGCATAACCACATTCATTTTTAGACATTTCCATCACCCCCCAAAATTCCTTTAGTCCCATTTGTAGTTAACCCCCATTCCTACCCCAAGCCTTAGGCAACCATTGATCAGCTTTCTGCCTATAAATTTGCATGTTTTAGATATGTTGTATAAATGGGATACATGCATATGGGGACTTTTGCATCTAGTTTCTGTTATTTAGCATATTGTTTTGAGGTTCATCCGCACTGTGGCCTGTTTAAGTAGTTCTTTTTTTTTTTAAATTGCTGAGTAAGTACTCAGTTGTATGGCTGTAACACATCTTGTTTATTCATTCACCTGTTGGTGAACACTTGGTGCTTCCCCATCTTGGCTATTATGAATAATGCTGCTGTAATCACTCACATACATGTCTTTGTGTGGACATATGTTTTCATTGCTCTTAGGTAAATTCCTAGGAGTGGAAATGCTGGATTTTATGGTAAGTTTGTGTTTAATTTTTTTTTTTAATGCCAAGCTATTTTCTAAAGTTTCTGTTCTACTTGACATTCTCACTAGTAATGTATAAGCATTCCAGTTTCTCCACATCCTCACCTACACTTGATATTATCTATTGTTTTTACTGTAGCCCTCCTAGTAGTATCTCAGTATAGTTTTTGTGTGTGTGTTTTGGGTGCATGTGTGGTGGTGTTTTTTGTAACCCTCACCTGAGGATATTTTTTCCATTGCTTTTCAGAGAGTGAGGAAGAGAGAGAATGACAGACAGACAGACAGACAGACATTGATGTGAGAGAGACACATGGATTGGTTGCCTCCCACACGCACTCCCACCAGGGCTGGGGATTGAGCCTGCAACCCAGGTATGTGCCCTTGGCCAGAATTAAACCCGGGACCCTTCAGTCCGCAGGCTGATGCTCTAACCACTGAGCAAAACCAACTAGGGCTCAGTATAGTTTCAATTTGCATTTCCCTAATGACTAATGATGTTGAGCACTTTTTCATGTTTAAAAAGATAGAGATTTCACATAGAAATCCAGAATCCTGGGCTCACCAGCAAAAAGCAAACCAACCAACCAACCAGGATATCTGGCAATGTTGGCATGTCCAGCATGGTAAGAGCCCAGTAGCCGCTTTACACAGGGCAGCATCAGTCACCAGTTTCCCGCATCTCGCTGACTTATGTCACCTGTTGTGCTTCCCCTTTTGAAGTCTAGAGCTGTGCTGTCCACTGTGGGGGCTACTAGCCACATGGGACTAGTGGGCACTTAAAATGTGGCTAGTCTGAATTAAGATAGGCTGTAAGTATAAAATATGCATTGAATTTTTAAGACTAGGTATAAGAAAAGAATGTAAAATAGCTCAGTAGTAATTTTTAACACATTGATTATGTTTCGGTGATAATATTTTTGATATATTGGGGTAAATAAAATATATTAAAATTAACCTTACATGTTTCTTTTTACTTTTTTAAAATGGAACTACGAGAAACTGTGAATTTACATGCATGGCTCTTGCAGTATAGTTCTATTGGTCAGTGTGGGTCAAGAGGCCAAAGGATAAATGGGGGACCAGGCAGGAGGGGTAGGCTCGGCCAGATCACAGAGGAGGGTGAAGTGGGGCATGATGACAGTTAAGGATCTTTGGAGACTTTGGAGTCTCTGGTCCGAGTTCATGCTCCTGATTGCTGTGCCAGCACTTTCAGTTTCTTCGTTTTGAAATGGGGATGGACAATGGCACCCCCTCCACAGAGCTGTTCATGTAAAGCACTAGCTATAGAGTGGGCACTCCCTGAAGGACAGGCGAGGTTGTTTTGCCCAGCTATGGAGCTGGAATTTGTTTCTCAGGGAACTGACCGGGCACTGACCGGTTTTAGGCTGCAGAGTGATGTTTCAGAAAGATCCCTCTGGAGCAGGGCAGGGAGACCAGAGCAGAGGCCGTGCTGAAACTCAGGCAGGAAGTGATGAGTGTCTGTGCACACGTGGAGAAGTGGCCGCATTCAGGGCGCGTGGAGAAATGAAAACCGTATGACATGGTGATGGATGGGATGTGGTGGGAGAGGGCAATGTGCAGGGCATCGCTGAGGTTTCTGGCTGGGAGAGGGTGGGGGAGAGGAGAAATGCACATCCGGAGAGGGAAAAGCTGGAGGGGCTCTGCCAGGCCAAGGGCTCCTGGCACACAGACAGACAGTCAGCAGATATTTGCCAAATGGCCAGAGGCCTAAGAGCGCTGCCTTTGAGACCACAGTCCAGGGCTGGCTGCTGGTTCTATCAGCTGTGTTATCTCAGGTATAATACTTCACCTCTCAGGGCTTCAGTTTTCTCATCTGTAAACTGGGAATAACAAATGTAGCCCCCTTGTGGGTTGTTCTGAGGACTCAGTAAGGTTGTCTGTGTAAACTCATAGCATAGTGAGTGCTCAGTAACTGCTGGCCCCAGACTCCCCACTTGATCCCCCCCAATACACACATAAGACCTGGCTCTCACTTCCTTGAAAGAAGATAAGCCCCAGGGGAAGTAAGTGCCTCAATTATTCTCCCTTCACCCTGGAGCTAAGCAGGAAGATGGCGGTTAGACTGCAGGAAGAACTTCCTTTTAGAACCAAGGGTATCCAAGTGCGTTTTAGAAAACTAACTGCTCAGATTCCCTTTCCTGCCCTTCATAGATATTAGTAGATAATTAAAGAGCATTTGGGGGAGGGGACCATAGGGTGTCTTTTTATCCCTGGTCTCCTTGAGCATCCCAGAGTGACTTGGCAAGAAGGGGCCAGGGCTGGAGGCCTAATGGGGCCATAACCTCCCTGTCCCCTCACTACTCTGGGGGCAGTAGACACGGGGATCACAAGTGGACAGAGGGAAGTTGGAGACTCTTGTGATTGCACAGATCTCGCTGGACCCAGGAACCCTGCCTCCAGCTCAGACTCCCTTTCCTCATTTCCAACTCCCTCTCTGGTTGCGCACCCCAAAATTCCAAGTCTGCTGGGGCTGTTTGAGTTTTAACAGGGAACCAGCCTGGCTTAGTAAAGAGAATACAGGTTCAAGAACCAGACAGCTCTGGGTGTCTTCCTTTGTAAAGCAGGGATAGCAGAACCTTCCTCTGAAAGATGCTGGGACATTTAGATGTCTGTGTGCACAGCATATAGCATGGTGCCTAGTACATAGCTGGTGCCCCATCCAAGTGCTCACTCCACAGCTGGCTAGTGTCCTGTGGTCCCTGGCTCAGTGCTCTCTCTCTCTCCCCCTTGCTCTTGCTTCTGCTCCACAGTCCCCATCCCTTCCAAAGCCAGCAGCCTCTCAGCCCTCTCACTGGCCAAAGATGGCCTGGTTGGCGGCATCACGAACCCCAGTGAGGTCTTCTGCTCCGTGCCAGGCCGGCTTTCACTGCTCAGCTCGACATCCAAGTACAAGGTGACAGTGGGGGAGGTCCAGCGCCGACTCTCACCTCCCGAGTGCCTCAACGCCTCACTCCTGGGTGGTGTCCTTCGCAGGTAGGAAGGCCAGCCCACAACTCCCTGTACAGTGCCTGGGCCAAAATCTGTGGCCATCTCAGGCCTCCTCAGGGGATCAGGGAGGGTCCAGCCTGACCCACAGGGCCATCTATGCCCCAGTCTTCCTGGGGGATTGTGCTGCTCTGAGGGCAGGCCCAGGTCCCCAGCAGCAACCACAGTTCTGTGGTCTTGGGGGTGGGATGCGGAGGAAGAAGCCTGAACATAGAGAAGGGTTGGAGGACTCACCCACATTGGGCAGGATGGACAAGGCTGGGTCTGGGGAAGAAAGAGTGCCCTCTTCACCCCCTCCGCGAGAAAAGGGGCCCCCAGGACCCAAAGCCCATTCCCTGTGGAGCATAGGCCTCTCGGGCATCTGCATTTTGGGTCCACAGTTCTCTTCTAGTTGTGTGTTTGTCTCTCTTTGTGCATATCTTTGTGCCTGGATAGGGTATTTGTGCTTCAAGGCTATGCGTCTTGGTGTGTCTGAGGATAGTGTGCGCATGTGTGTGCCTTCATGAGTGCATCTGTGTGTGTGTGTATGGTGTAGGGGATGGCCAGGAGGCAAAGTTTCCATGAATGTGAGTCTCGTGTGTTACTTTTAGTGGGATGCGTTGGCTAGAGTGTGGCCTACCCCGTGCATGTGCGTGATGGCATGTGCATCTGGAGCTAGACCTGTATGTTCAGGTGTCTATACCTCTGCGTGGGGGCTGCATTTGTGCAGGTGTGGGGGTGTCTCCTTATTCCTGGTCTCTTCGAGCGCCCCAGAGGTGCTCACATGAATGTGTGAGTGTCTGTACATGTCCCTGGGATCCTGACTTGGTGTGAACATTTGTCTCTGTGTCTCTACGTGTCCCTGGGTGTCTGAGTGTCTGTCTCTTGGAGTGTGTGCTTATTCTTGGCCCTCAGTGCCAGCTCACCTGTGTCTGTGTCTATATGTATCTGTGTGTGTCTGCTTGTCCCGGTGTATCTGCATAAAGGTCTGTGCATCCCTGGGTGTCTGTGTATGGCCTAGCTGGCATGCTAAGGTGGGGAAAAGGCCTATTCTGCCCCACCCTGGGCCATCCTGCTATTGAGAGGATTAGGGAGAAATGAGGGGCTCCTGGAGCTGGATGCTAGGCCCGCTAGCTCCCATCTCAGCTACAAAGCCAGTGAGGTTAGAAAGAGGTTGGGACCAGGTTGAAAGAGGCCCCAGACTGTCCCCAGGGCCAGCCCCACACCTCAGCAGGGGTTGGTGGAGGCAGCAAGGTCACTTAGCCTGCATGCCTCTCTCTTGTCTTCATAGTGTGTGTCTGTCTCTCTCTGTGCATGTGAAGGGCCAAGTCCAAGAATGGAGGCCGGTGCCTGCGGGAGCGGCTGGAGAAGATTGGGCTCAACTTGCCAGCGGGCCGTCGCAAGGCCGCCAACGTGACGCTGCTCACTTCGCTGGTGGAGGGTGAGTGAGGCCTGAGGGTGGGTGCCAGCATGAACATGAGTGGACCTGTGTCATCCAGTCTGACTATGTGTGACTGTCTCTTATGCAGGAGGGTGTGCTTAGTCAGTTGTTTGTTCCCTGTCATGTATAAGTAGGTGGTGTGTGTGATATATGTGTATAGTCTGTGTATGTACATGCTCACACATGCACATGCCCATGCAATAGAAAGCATGTGTGTATGTGTGTGTGTGTGTGGGGGGAGTGGTCAGTGTTTGGATGAGGTAAAGGGATGAGGGGGTTAGAGTCCCTATCCTTGAGGTTGGTGACTGGGCTTGGTCATCTCGAGCTTAGGCTCTGGGATACATGGGGGCTTAGCTCCCATCCCTGAACTCAGAGCCCATCCCTGGTGGCCCCAAGGGATTGGGGCTGGAGTGGGAAATCAGAGGAAGGTATCTATAGGATAAGATGGGGCAGGATGGGCCCTGGCCAGGGCTCAGAGGTTCAAGGTGCTGCTCCAGGCTCAACGGTTCACCTGGCTGCAGTGACAGCTCATCTGTCTGCCTCTCCTCCCCCCAGGAGAGGCTATACACCTTGCCCGAGACTTCGGCTACATCTGTGAGACCGAGTTCCCAGCCAAGGCAGCTGCAGAGTACCTGTGCCGACAGCATGCCGAGTCTGGGGAGCTGCACAGCCGCAAGAACATGCTCCTGGCTGCCAAGTGAGTGAGGAGGGTGCAGTGTGGGCACTTTTGGAAACCATGCGTAGGCTGTCGTGGGTGCCACGAACAGGCACATGTAGGTGCAATGCACAGGCACCAAGCATGAGCACAAGTGGCACCACACACGGCACATCTACACTCAGTGCTGTGCGTGCTACAGAGCACACATGGACATATATGAACATATCTGGGTTCTATGAATCAGCAAAAGTGGTGTCACAGGCAGACTTACACAATCTGTGCCATGCCCCATACACTAGCCCACGATGACACCAGCCCTAGTCCCGTCATGGCTCTGAGGTTCTGTGGTCTTGCTCCCTCTGCTTGAGCCTTACCTACTCCCTTCTGTTCTAGTGACCTCCATGAAGGCACCAACGCCCACCCAGGCCCCAGGTTGATCACCCCTATCCTTACTTCACATTTAACACCTCTGCAACACTCATCGGTGCCTCCCTCAGCACCATTCACATGCTGCCACCTCAACTCTGGTCTCCTCATCTCACTCCTGAACCTTCACTCCAGCACCCCACTGTTCTCTCAGACTCCCTGCACATGCACTACTCCCCTGCCCAAGAGCCTTCAATGGCTCCCACTGCTACTGCATTGATTTTCAAACTAGGTGCTGTGGGGATGCTTCCAGGTCTGTTTAATGAGCTGGTATTCTATTAAGATTTAGTTTCTAGAAAGAATTCCACTGCAAGAAGAGACAGAGTGACAGAGAGGAAAGGAGTTAAAAAAAAAAAAAATTGAAAACCACCAATCTATAGGGTCAAGTCCAGACTCCTTTGAAGGCCCCATGGTCTGGCCACACAAACCCCACCCACTCCAATAGACCTACTTGCCCTCTCCGGCCCTCCCATCCATGGGCTTGCTCTCCTGCTTAGAACACCATCCAGTACCCCCATCTAATGTGGTCTTTCAAATCGTAACTCCACCCTCCCCTCTTTGAGGCTTCCTTAAGTCCCCTAGGCAGAAGTAGAATCACAGGCTCAAGGGACTTCCATGACTCATGGGACATTTGTAGCTAGAGAAACACATCTAAGGCAAGTTGGCTCACCTCACTCACCAAGCACTTCGTGGGTCCCACTCAGGTCTGATGCTGATTGGGTTCCATGGTGATACAAAGGTGAGACACAAGTGATTCTCCTACCCGAACCACATACAAGATGCACAAAGAAACAATGGCCACAAACTAGAGCTGGATTCAAGTCCCAACTTAGCCACTTGGGTAGGTCATCTAAGCTATCTTAAACCACTTTCCTCATCATATGATGGGGATGATAACAGTATAGATTTGTTGCACAGCATCTAGGCCTTAATTCATGTTCACTCTGAGCTATTATTTCAATTATTCAAGATAGATTCTGGATTATTCCCTAATAATTTCAGACAAAGCTCTGTGAGGGCACTGAGTACTTAAGGTAAGGGTAGGATTGGGAGAGGGGATCAAGGGAGGTTTCCTGAATAAAGTGGTAGAGCTGGACTTTGAATATGGGCAGGAGGTCCACATGAAAAGAGATCCTAGGGTATTGGCATGCTGTTTACTAGGTGTGTGATATGGGACAAGTTAGTTAACATCTCTGAACCTTAGATTCCTTTTCCGTAAAATAGGTATGTATGATCACCATTTGCAGGCTATTGGCAGGGTCAGCAATAAATATAATAACCAGCACATGGTGGGTCCCTTCTCTGGGCTCAGACCTTTGACCTCTAACCTCTGACCTCCTTCCCTTACCAGGCAGATCTGCAAGGAGTTTGCAGATCTGATGGCTCAGGACCGCTCGCCACTGGGCAACAGCCGCCCAGCACTGATCCTGGAGCCCGGAGTGCAGAGTTGCCTGACACACTTTAGCCTCATCACCCATGGCTTTGGCGGGCCAGCCATCTGTGCTGCCCTCACTGCCTTCCAGAACTACTTGCTGGAGTCACTCAAGGGGCTGGACAAGATATTTCTAAGTAGTACAGGCAGTGGGCATGGCGACACCAAGACTTCAGAGAAGGATGCCAAGCATCGGAAATAACCATTTCCCCGGCCCCTCCCTAATCGGCTCCCAAGGCCTGAAGAAATGAGGTCTTAGCTCCTGGGGGTGGGCCTGCAAGGATTAAAAGGTGGGGTTGGAGTCAGGCCAGAAAGAGAAGATCCATCCAGAAACCTCTGAGTTAGCAGCCTAGGTTGGAAAAGGCAGGGGTGGCCCCTGTGGTGGTTTGATAAGGGCCCAGTTGCCTGCAGTTTTCTGACCCTGGGTTGCTGAGAAGTGCTTGAACAGGAAACTGACATGGAAGAGCCTGGTTCCTGGGGCTGAGCCCTGCCCATTAGGGTACTTGGGTAGCGGTGGGTGCTCCCAGGGTCCAAGGCCTTGCTGTTTTTACTGATGTCAAGAAGGAAACTTGTTAACAAACCAGAGGTGCTACTGAGGAGTTGGCACCCTTCATCCCAGAATCTCTACCCCCCAAAAAGGGGCGCTGGCAGGAAAACTCCAGTGGGCTCTTTGGACCCCTCCCACTCTTGGAAAGAAGTGGGCAGAGGGGCCCTCAAAGAAAAAAGACAAAACACAAATTGTAGAACTTGAACCCAGGCTGCACTTCAGTCCTGTCATTGTCTGCCCTATTTATTTATGTGTTGTAATTAAATTTGAAAGTTTAAAAATGTCTAGTGCAACTTATTTATCCCAACGAGTTGAGGACTCTTGTTTCACTGTTTTCTGCTCATGCTCTGAGATGTCCATCTGGACAAGAATGGAGGGGTTTTTGCTCACAAAGGGCTATTAGGGGATGGGGAGCCAGAGGGTAGGAAGGTGTCAGGGGCCCTAGGTTGTCACTAGAATTTTGTATTTGCTGTTGTTTCTCTTGACCCTGCAGGTCGATGTACCTCCTCAACTCTCAATGCTTTCTCATTCTCTTAATAAAACCTTTTCATTGGATGTGAAGCCCTCCCCTGTCCTCCTTTAGCCCAGGCCTGGATTTTCCTCCCAAAGGAGAGTCCAAGGAGGTGGCTTTGGGCACCTGCGTGAGATTGGGTACAGATGGTGGGTCTATTTGGCTTGTCAGTGTGGCTGTTAGTTCTGTGTCGTCAAATTAAGGGACAAGAGAAACATTTTTTACTATGTCTTTGTGCATTTTTTCCTAAGTGCATGCAATACCTATTCACATCAAGTAATCAAAAATTTTTTTAGCTTAGGGGGAAGAAAGAATCACTGCTTTAGAAGGAGTAAGACATTAGCCAGCATGATATATGAACGATCTAGATGGGTAGGAAGCTGGGCAGTGAAATAGAATGTGGGGCTGTCAGCTGCTAATGGGCAATTAGAACATCAGTGAAGAGAAAGGCACAGGAGGAAAGACAGTCTTGGCCAAAAGTCCAAGCAGATAATCCTTCCCCCATTTCTTTCCTGAGGTGATGTCAGGTAAACTAAGACTCAAACCAGAGAGCTCAATGTATCCATAGTCAGCTTTATTCTGAATTAACCATCTATCAAGAGTGCACGTCAAGAGTAGAAAAAAATAAAGGAGCCGATCAAAAAAAGTTTCCTGGCAAGTAGGAGAGAGGGCATGATGTTAGGAGCCCTGTTTAGGGAAGGAAATGTTGTCCAGGTCATGGATGCCATTTTTGTCAATGATTCGAACACTGAAGGTTGGCAGGTTCAGGATGAAGCGTTTCTGGAGCTGTAGAGAGACATGAAGGAAATCAGTCAACAAACACTTTTAAGAACTACCCATGGGCCAGGCTCTGATTGAGGCACTGGGCATACAAGCAGATAAAATCCCTGCTTTTGTGGAGCTTATATTCCAGTGGGGGCCATTGGTAGTAGGACACCAAAGAAAGCCCAAACTGCAGCTGAAAGCTGGAAGGTAGTGAGCAAGAACTGCGAGATGCCGCTGGGAGCTTGTCTCTGGTCAGTCAGCTGATGAAAGAATGAAACAATTCAATGCTTTATTCCCCAGGCTTCTACCAATCAGCCTGGTAAACACAGACTTCTCTTTTAATATGTCTCAAGGTGATAAGCCAACAAAGGAGTGATTGCCCTAGGAATAACCTTTGGACCAAAGCAATGTACTCCTAGGCCCAACAGTTTGCTCCAGTCACTCACTCATATTATCAGGACCTGGTGTGTGTGTGTGTTTGGGTGTGTAGCTGGAGGGGTGGTGGGAAGGAACAAACTCTGCTTCTGTCTCCTCCAATCCACACTGACCCGTCTATTAAAGTAACATCTCTGCATCTCCTAAGACTCTGCTTAAGAGGCTGTTCCAAAGGAGCTGCATGGTCTATGTGTCTGGAAGCAGACAGCCCCACTAACCTGGCTGGAGATTACTGAGGGGCAGAGCTGGAGGAAGGTTTTGCTCCTGTGGCTACCCTTCCTGGATACTTCACTTATACTCTACATAGAGAAGGCACAAAGCTCTCCATCTGCTTCCCTAGGAGCATATCCCAGAAATGTCCACCTCCCCAGGCCTAAGCTCTCCCTCCCTCGATGTTTCCCATCTCCTTTACTGCTGAGAACTGGGCACCAACAACCAATTTACTTCCAGAGTCCTCTCTGCTGATGACTCCTATTGTCCAGAAACAAGACTCAACATTAAGAAGAGGTGACAATAAGGAAATGTGAGTTTCTAATATGATCATCTTTAGGATCTATGAGGAATGAAGAATCAAAGCACTTAATATTCCAGTGGCTTCTTCTTGGCAGTCCCTTGCAACACTTGGGGCTGCCAGACTAATATGGCCTCTCAGCTGAATGGTTAAGAAAAACACATGAGTTTATTCTCAGCTTCTGCTTTGGAAGGGGATTCACAAACAAGAGGAAGAAGGGGGCACTGTGGGCTGAAAATGACAGGCTTGTGTAAGAGGCAAACTGACATTACGTCCAAGGCACACACTCCCTCCGCTCTTGTGCTCCTACTCTCTCACTAGACTACGAATTCAAGTTAATCCTTACGCCACAAGAATAGTAAAAGAATGAAAACGCCTAAGGGAGCTGCTTTCTTTTCCTCCCTATCCGCCCTTCATACCCCAAGGCCTCTGGCTCTTAGTAGTAGTACTAGACTGGGTGCAGTCCATGCTCCTGGCCTCATAAACTAAAGGCTACTCTCTCCTTCTGCCCAAAGCTTCCTAGTTGCTTTCTATGGCCTCTGGAATTCTTGGGGGAGGCTTTCTCCCCAGGACTCATGCACTGTTACGGGGAGCAGCTAGTATGGCAACTCCAGGTGGCACAAGAATAAAGCAGGTATAAAGTCTAGGGCAGCAGTTCTTTAAAGCATGGCCCATTTACCACCTGCAGCCAAATCACCTGGGCCTGCTAGTTAAAATATTCTCAGGCTCTACACCAGGACAAGCAAGTCAGAAGGGGGCAGGGCTGAATCTGTCTGATTTTTAAAACAAGTTGCTGAGATGATTCTTATCCATGCTAAAATTTGAGAACCACTGGTCTGGATGAACCAAAAAGAAAAGTAATTAAATTGTAAAACTGACATCCATGAGGAGGTGACCCATGAGAGGAAAAACTAAGCTTATTACCCACCAAACTCTATCCTTGGCAGCAACTTCACATCTGGTTAGTGAGTATTTATTACACCTTCTGGCAAGGATCAGAAAAAATGGGAATAATATTGGCAAAGAGAGAGAAAAAACATTCTGTTCAGTCCTCAAGAATCCCATGGGAGCTACTTACCTCCTCTAGACATTTCCTGAGAAGCTCCACTGCCCTCTCACGTGAGATAGCTGGAAGAGAGCACAGAGGCCACACATTCACTCAAGGTACTGCCATTAAACCCAACTCTCCGCTGCAACTTTATTGTTTCAAACTTCTTCAGGTCAACATGTCACACAAACGGAAAAGGCAAAAAAATGCCTCGCCTTCTAGCTTGCAATAAACTTATTCCATATGCAGTTGAGGGTGCCCTAGACCCAGTGTTCTGGCAGCCACAAGCCATTGCAAATTGATTTGCTACAGAGAAGGGTAAGCATGACGGAATTTTGCCTCCCATGGCTGGGGCCTGCCTCTAGAGAAGTCCAGCGGCCTGCCTCTTTTTTATAGCCCATCCCCCCAACTCATCCCCAAACATCCCTTTAGACCAGGGCTTAAACCAGTTCCATCTGCCCTAGCCAGCTGCAAATCAGGGAAAGGGAGGACAAGGCCAGAGTTTTAGCCTCACTTTCCCAGCTGGGTCTCAGTTTAACAAAGGAAAGAGAATTCACAGGATGAGGCTGAGACTCTCATAAAATAGGAGCCAAAGGAACTGTCTATGGGCATGTCAAACTGGGATGACATATTACACAGTTAGGCTTCAGGGATGGTTGGTGGTTATTTTGGTGGGCAAATCAGTGTATTACTGACAGATGCCAAATCAAGAAACTGTCACTAGGAGGCCAGGCTAATTCTTTTCAGGATGTGGCCTGGAGCTCTGGCAAGGCTGAGGTTGAGTGAGAGGGCAATACCAAAAAAGGAATGAATAAGCCAGATTTTTACTCAACTGACAGGGAAGAACAGAATGTAAGGAGCGAGGTGGTTATCTGTGCTGTGTCTATAGCCTGTGAAAGCTAAGACTCCCAAATAACTATTGCTCACAGTGGCTCAAGTCAAAGTTGGGATTGAGGTCAGAAGGTAGAACTTTGCACAAAAGCATTCCTGTGTCAGAGGCTTTGCCGAGCTGACAATTTACTGACAAGTAGAGAGCGAGCCTTATCCTGCAGGAGGGGGCAGCCATTAGGTGATGAGAACCAAGGAAAGGGCCCAGACTTGTGGCCTTCAAAACCTTTGACATTTAAGCAAAAAAATCCTCAGCTGTCATGCTGGGGAACTGTTCGTCCTCACAAGCTCAAAACAAACACACAAACCACTTGGTTTACTTGCTCATTCTCTATAGCTGAGATGCTAACAAGGCAGGAAAAATGAGTGAAAAAATTGAATTTTTGAAACAGAAAAATTATAGTTTTAATCACTACTCCAACCCCCCTTTAAAACAAAACCAAACCCATCTCTGGACACATGCACATGCAATATCTCATTTTGTCTGGTAAAAGAGGGACTTTTATCAGCTTTTCAAAAACCCTACTGACCCACAGGAGAAAGCCTCCAGAGGGTACCTGAATGTGCTTCTCAGGATCTCTCCTCTATTCAAGCCCTGGCCGCCCAACTCCAAGGGTTAGTGCACAA